TTATATTCGCTATACAATAACGTTTTACTCACAAGTGAACACATTAATCAATGAAAACATGCTACACTTTGGGACGTGATGGTGAACAGGTGCTTGTAGAGCACGAAGCTACGGAACAAGAAACGAAAACCTCAACTTATTTTCGAGCGTAATTTCTACGATAGGCACCTCTTAGCTCAACTTATGCAATGTTCTCTCCCTCACTTCTATATTAGTGAACTGGTCAAGTTGTTCCATTTCAGACTAAAGAGGTCAGTACAAAAAACTTCTTTTAGATGTAGCGAACATCTTCAACCTAAGAAGTTAAAACGATCGACTGAACGAAGGTAAATATGTTTTTCTATATCATCTGTGAATGTGTTTGCGTGTTTGTGTTTGCAGTAACATTTCATTGCGGTCACAAACGGGTGGACAGCTGTCTTGGAAGATATGATCAACGCACTCAGTCATGCGACCTAACAACACGTATGTTACCGAGTGTGCAAGAACTAATTTTCCAAGCCAGTGGAAATGCTTCCAACAACCAACTACCCTAACCGAAAATGCAGCATTCCAGTTGTTAATTTCTTGATTTTGAAACGACCCGGTGAGGATTTTTTTTATTATTATTATTATTATGTTAAACAATCAGACTCTGACTTGGATAAACTCCAAGGGTAAGAGTTAGGCACGTAAAGTTAATTTTAGCTTTTGCTTAAATATTATTTAAATGTAAATAATAATATTTGACGAAATTACTAATCATGTTTACTTTCACCTCTTCCCTCACCAAAGGAAGACGTTAGAAATGCTTTTAACGTGGGTCCCTAATTCAAGGTGACGTTAGAAATGCTTTAAACGTGGGTCCCTAATTCAAGGTTTTTCTTACTGGGGTAAGTGACAATTTATTGTGTTTAAGCAGAAACTAAAATCCACGCATAAAAACTTTTAACAACCTATATACTTTATACTACGTAAGAAAACGTCTTGTAATTGCCTCAATTGTAACCTTGCGTACCTGTCATTAAACTTTATATATAATAATAATGCAACCCATATATATATATATATATATATATAATATCACAACCAAGGAGATATTTTAGATATAACAAAACAGTAAAACTTTCTTTTTCATTTTTTTACTTGTGACCATTATTACACCAGGTGCAAGTTAAAACTCCCCTATTAAAGATTCTGATGTAATATTAAATAAAAACACTCATGCTCTTCCCTATGAAACATTAGGAGATAGAACTGAGTAATGAAAATAATGAATCATGTTCTAACTGTATGTGTTAAGTTTCTTCACTTGTTTTTTTTTTCAAAATAAAAACTTTCGTAGCTTGGAAATCATAAAATAATTATTCTTCATTTTGTTTGGCTAATTCTATTCATTAATCACGAGGGTTATTCCTCTAACCGTAGAAACTTGGCGTTGAGAAATTCAAAGTTGCACAGACAAAATGTCACGGTATCATTATGTAAATTAGTTTCAGGGTTTCCTGTATACGTAAGCGTGGAACGGGAGTATTTCGTGGTTAGCCTAACATGTCCGTGGCTTTTTCAAGGCAGAGCGAGATGTTGAACGATTTTTTTAGGTGCTATAACGGCACTTCCTCAAGTTGTTTAGGAAAAGAATGAGAAACATAGAAGAAGAAGAAAAAAGGAGAGGCCTAATGATTGTACTTAAACGTCAACAAAGCAACTCGTCAAATAATTAAGGAGTTCCTTAAAGATGAGGAAACTTTACTTGTCTCACCATTATAGTTGCGTCACCTAAGCTATTTTGATTACGCCGGTACATTTGTCCCAACATGAACTGAAAGAGGAAGTCTTTGCTCAAGTGTTTTAAATCTGATGGTTGAAGTAATTATTTAATAATAAAAAAACTTCTCTACATAAGAAGGAAAAATCGAGATAAAAAGTTCAGAACGTCAGTTTTAAACCTACCCCTATTATCGCGTTCAGCTCAGTCATGGTAACTTGCTTGGCTCGCTCGACTGCTGCTGCAACTTGTTGTTGATGCTAAAAATAAAGAAAATAATAATAAAAACGTTATGACGAGGAAACTACAAAATGATGCCAAAAGTAAAGAAAATAATGATAAAAAAAGTTATGACGAGGAAACTACAAAATAATGTTAAAAATAAAGAAAATAATAATAAAAACGTTATGACGAGGAAACTACAAAATGATGCTAAAAATAAAGAAAATAATAATAAAAAAGTTACGACGAGGAAACTACAAAATGATGCTAAAAATAAAGAAAATAATAATAAAAAAGTTATGACGAGGAAACTACAAAATGATGCCAAAAGTAAAGAAAATAATAATAAAAAAGTTACGACGAGGAAACTACAAAATGATGCTAAAAATAAAGAAAATAATAATAAAAAAGTTATGACGAGGAAACTACAAACGCAATATTAAACTCATACTAAGACCAATCAATACTTATGACGTATAAATAACAAACCAATCAATGGTTAGTGAGGTATAGAATCTGAAAGAATTAACCAATTACCAAAAACTGGTGAAAAATAGCAACAAATTATTTACTAACCGCTTATCTGTATAAACTTACCAAAGTAAGTCTTCATTGTAAAGACGACTGCACTAATGGTGCAGGAATCTGAATCCTGCTTGCTAAAGGATTAATTTACAAAACAAAAAACCGGATTTTATTCCAGTGCTATTTTTTACGATACTTTTGATCAGAACGGTTTTGAAATGTTGTCGCCACACACGTATAACATTTTTCTGATTTCGTATAATTTCTCTGCCCACCACGGGTATTGAAACCCGGTTTCTAGCGGTGTAAGTCCGCAGACGTACCGTTGTGCCACTGGGGGCTTACAAGAAGAAAGTGTGATGCTGGAAAATGAAAATCTTGAAAACATGTGTATGTATTTTACTCAATCTCATAAATTTTCCAAATGCATTACAATAAATCATTACTTATGCTTACAAATACTGCTACTTTCAGATCATGATTTCTTCCACCATTCAGTATTATGTCTTTGTTCCAGTCAGTCCCATTTATCCATTTCCGGCGAACCGAACTGCATCCGGAATCGCTACAAATGAATACTCTACTAACTGAGCGAGCTACAGGGTTAACGCGATAGTATTAGTATTTGCTACCGTAGTTGTAAGGCATTTTTCCATAGAGCCAAGAGCATCCATGTGGTTAGCGTGCAGAACTGTGGATTTGAAAATTCGTTGTTCGTGTCTCGTTACAGCAAACTCGCACTCCGCACTTTGGGGGCGTGAGTGCGTTATAATAGTGACAGTCAACTCCCATTATTCTATTAGAGTAGCCAAAGAGTTGGGGAGGGCAGAAATGACTAGATGCCCTCCCTCTTAGTCTACTGCTTCAAAATTAGGGAGGGTTATCACAAATAGCAAAAATTAATAAACAGACAAAATAAAACTTTTAACAACTAGCATTACCACATCCTTCCCTTCTCCCAAACAAGACCAGTCCTCAGGATTGTGGGACAACCATTAATTGTACTTGTGACATTTTCATTTATGCAGGATTTAAACCCGGCACCGCTCGCAATACAAACGAATACTCTAACAACTGAGCTAAAGGATTAACCCACTAGCATTCTCTGGTAAGGCATTTTTTGATAATTCAAAGTAATACACTTCTACAGTAATACTGTTTTGTCTCAGACTACTGCTAATAGTACTGCTGTGTCTCAGACTACTGCTAATAGTACTGCTGTGTCCAGACTACTGCTAATAGTACTGTTCTGTTCAGACTACTGCTAATAGTACTGCTGTGTCTCAGACTACTGCTAATAATACTGCTGTGTCCAGACTACTGCTAATAGTACTGTTGTGTCCAGACTACTGCTTCTACTACCAGTTCATACTAAATGAGGCTTTCTCAGACTATTATTTGTACTTTTATTTAGAACTACTATATTTTGTCTATGATTGTTAACTCTATGTATATCATTATTAATACCGACTATTGTATTATAATACATTTTAATACTCCTTGTCTACGATTATACTACACACAACGATAGCTATATAGCATTTCCAACCATAACGGAGGCATATTAAGATGTACAACTGGTGAGTTGAAAAAAATCTGGTTTGTAAACCATATCCACTTTTAATACTTTCTTTTAACTCTCCTTGACCCGCTGTTAAATAAAATTAACTGATTCTTTCAGAGCTATTGACTCTCAGCATCTTTCAGTAACCACATATTTTTAGCTGTACACTATAGGCTTTATTAAGTCCAGGGAAATGTATTTCATTGGTGCATTGAGCCACTGATACTTCTTGTGACTTCAACGCCCAATTTGTACTTGCTGCGGTAAATAGTTGAGTCGTGTATCACGGAAAAAAACCAAAAAAAAAAAAACTAGATTCCTGTTCAAGGTAAATGCAGCCCTGATGTTTGCCACGACAAAGTAAAGCCTGAAACTACAGAGGCCGAGAGCGTAGAATCACAACCTAAAGAGCAAACTCTTTACCGGAAGAAATCCAAAAGAAAACGGTACTTTTATATAGATATAACTTTACTCTGCGAATCCCCATTCAAACCTTCTTTTTCAATGTTGACTCATGGTCAATATTGATAAAGTCTTTGGTCAGGAAGACGGCTTAAGCTTCCACTGTATCTTTTGAACGAACAATTCAAACAAAGTGGACACCGACAACGGAACATGCCGATATACGGTAATGCACAATTCGATCTAAAAACATTACACTACATTCATGGTAGAAGTGACAAACAAAATTTTAATCTTACACTACATAATATCAATAATCTGAAACATTATAAATCCGAAATCTTGGAAAGACCTTCAAGTACAAAATATAAAAAAGGGTCAGAAAAAAAACTTATTTATGAAGTTGATGTTTAAAATTATGTTTTTCTAGATATAAATTAGAAACAGTTTGAAGTTTAGCAACACAGTCTCATTTGTTGATCGAACTAGTCCTTTAACCTTCTCGCTAAAACAACTAGACCTAGGGCCTGCTTGCTAAAATAACTAGTCCTTTAACCTTCTCGCTAAAACACTAATACCAGGGCCTACTTGTTAAAACAACTAATACTAGTGCCAGCTTGTTAAAACAACAAGTCCTTTAGCCTTGCTAAAACAACTAGATCTAGGGCCTGCTCGCTAAAACACTGCGTTCACATATTTGTTTGGGTTTATTAAGCACAGAAAGGGATCTGTGTGCTGTTCCCACCATGGGTATCAAAACCCGGTATTGAGCATTACAAGTCTTCAGATTTGCGGTCGAGCCACTGAAAGGGGGTGGACAACTCACAACATCAAATTTTATCGTTGTAAGTCGGCAATCTTATCACTGACCCACTATGGGGGACAGCCTAAGAATTAAAGCTTTTTTTTTTTGCTTCATCTATGACTGTATTTTTTTCGAAATTTAATTGTTAAAGTAAACAAAACTAACAACGACATACACTTAACACAAACGACATAGTTTTGTTCATACAATTTTTAAAACAACTGAAGCACATAATTCCCTAATTTTTACAAATTAATCTTAATTTTTTATTAAAAATAAGCCTAATAATATTGATAAAAATCACAATCAAATATTCATCACACTAACCTCTTGAGACAGGAAAGGCAGTATCTGAGCGATGATTGCGTTGAGTCTCTTAGCAATTTCAGTCTGGAATTATGAAATAACAAATTAGTGTGACGTTACATTCTTAATTTCACCTAATTTTCAGAAGACTAAAAAACAGTTTTATACCAAAATCTACAAAGATACCTAAATCATCTATAGGAAATTTACTTTTTTTTAACATGTCAGTTTAATGTATAAAATAAATCTTAACTTTTAATAATAAATTGCAATATAAAATAACAATGTGCATTATAGAAAGAGCTCTAAGTATCTAAGCATCACTACGAATTAAAAAAAGAAGTTATGTCAAAAAATATTATTAAGATTTATTTCAAAATCTCACGTACAATAAATATTCTTATCTCGAGAGTTTTAAAAGTTCTGCGTCTCCAGTACGTGACGTCAGATAATAAACCAATCCCGATAATGTGCCCTTAATTCAATCTAAGGATAAAAATCTGTCAATAAAACTAGAGCCAGGACATTCTTTCTTAAGGAATAAGAAACACATACTGTACATCTAGTCAACTAAAAATGCATTATTAAGCAGGATTTATGGTTTGCTCCTTAGGTTGTAGTTTCCTGAATACAGTTTAAAAAGACATCCGCGTCTCGTTTTTTTTTTCTTCTTTTTCTTGTTATGGTTAGTACGATATTATTAATTAATTATATACAAGATGAATCAGTTTATTAGTCCTTTATCAATCAACAAGTTACGAAGTGCTAAATTAAAACACAGCCATATGTGGCTTCAAAGCTGAGATCTTAATGCGGTAAAGATATAATTAACACGAAACGTACTTCATAATGGTTAAAGTACTATTTATTTAGTTGCTTTGTGGCGCATAAAACATGATTTTTGTGTGCGGTTTTTCAAGAGTCCCGAAGTCGCGTCCCTAATTTAGCAATGAAAACAGGAAAGGCAGCTAGTCAACATCACTCACTGCCAACTCTTGAGCTACAATTTTATCAACGAATAGTGGAATTGGCCGTCACATTATAACGGCCCCACGGCTGAAATGGCGAGCATGTTCATCGAACGGGATTCGAACCCGTGGCCCGTAGATTGCGAGTTGACTGCCCTAACCACCAGACCATACCAGGCTACCGTATATTTGCGCTCATAAAAATGACATTAAGCGCAAAGTTGGACTTTTGGGCCATCTGCTCTATACCTACGGCAGGGATAGAACCTCAGTGTTTAACGTTATAATATTAACAGGCTTGTCGTTGTGCCACCGGAGGACGCATTCAGGAAAAAAAAAAACTAAAATATAGTTTATTAAGATATCATCAGGAGACGAGGCATTCATGCTTCCATTTATTAAGATATCATCAGAGTTGCAAAAAAATATATAATACAGCGACATTATTATTTGAACACATTAACTAAAGCCATGTACAATGGGAAATAAAACACATTAATACACAAGACTTTTATCCCGCAATATGTCGTGTAGAAAGTAAAAATTGTAAATTATGAATTAACTTATCTTATTACATTTAAATAATTGCTGTTGTTTCACACTTTAACGTTGGGCTTAACAAAAAAACTACTGTTTCATTTTGTCTCCTGTTTTTACTTAAGCATAGCTCGTGCATTTTTTTCTTTACTTCAGCCAAATAGTTTATCTTAACAGATTTACAAGTTTTAAGCAAGATATTGGAAAACAAGGGACAATTTGAGGTTTTACTTCACACACAAAAAAAATATTATTATTTCATTTCTAGCTGAAAAAATGCATTTCTTCGACTTTAATACTCTCCTATTGATCTTATTTTAAATAATCCTGCAATTTCATTGGTTAGTGGATTTAGAATCTGTTGGATCAAATATTGGTGAAAACCCAAAGAAGCCTTTCGGTGTAAAATCCTCGGAGAATCACTCAGATCACGACTTAGACTACAGAAAGAAGCAGAAAGCTGTATGTTTGTTAAGCGGGCTATATAAACTTTAAAAATCTGTATTTATAACTCGATATTCCTAACCAACTTACACTTAAATGGAGTATTAAGGCATACGTAAGACCTAAAAATAATAATAATAATTTGCGCATTATACTTTCAAAAAAAATCAGAGTAATTACAGATAACCAAACATTCTAACAGGGATGTAAAATCTTTTGGTTACTCCCCTCCTCTCCCCTTCCGACGCTCATACAAATAAAGGATAATGATTGAATATGAATGAGCGCAACGACTTAATATATATATATATGCATATAAGTACGTGACTAATACATCGTGATGCTTTAGCTTCGCTCTGTAGTTATTACAGAACTGATGTTGATGATGTTAAGGAGCTCCATAAATAACAAGGAGATGGAACTGGGTTATGGTATAACCGTTCCGTACACGAGATCCAATCGAGTGATGAACATTCATTACATAGGATCTTTTCACGCATGAGCGAAGAAGAACGACGCGTGCACGTGAATTCTGCATCGATTTTAATCCCGGTAGACGCTAGGTTCCTGTTTGGGGGGTACATGAGCAGACCGACTTATTATCGAGCCTAACTAGATCACGGTTGGCCAGGCTGCCCACTAAATAGAATTTCAGGCACAAAAGGGCGGATAGCTCGCCTCGAAGTTTTCTCTTTTCACTACAGCAATTACGAGGATATACGTGTCGAATTGGCCAATCTCTGCAACAGCAGCTCCAGCAGTCCGTGACATCTGCCGCCAACGAGCTCGTGAACGTCTTCATACTCCTGACACATTGAACTCAAGAGAATTGAAGCTAGAAACTCCGGCCATTAAAAACTTTGAGAATCAGGCAAAATAGCTTCATTCCTCATATGGACACCCTCTTCGTGATGTAGAAGAGAATATTGACACGTTACCACTACCAGACAGACAGACAAACGCAGAAGTCAACGGCTACTTAATTTCTATTATCAAATCACAACTACCGAAAAAGTTTTGTTGGCTTCGAACTCCATGTACTACTAAAACATAATGGACTATGCGAAAGAGATCACTACCAAATTTAACTTAAGCAACAACAACAAAAAACGGAGGTGGGGGGGGGATTTTTTATAGTTTCCTTACGCTGTTACACATATGTCATGTGTGTTATAAGTGGGTGGAACATGTAAAGATATAGAAAAATGTTAACCACATTCCAAGCCCACTACTGTCTTTAGATGTTAATGATGGTAAGAAATGAAAAAAAAAAAAACGCCATTAGTATCGAGAGACGAAGAATAAATTTAAAACGATTAGACGTTTTTTATGGGGAAAAAATCTTTAAGCTATAGTACAAACTTTCTATCCATTGTTATTGGAAAAAGCAAGTATTTTTTTTTTTTTTTGCTGCTTTATATAATGCATCACATAAAGAGAGAGGAGAACATTTTCCTCCTTATCCAAACAGCGTCATCCCATTAAGTTAAAGCATTTAAGACTCGGTGGAATGAATGCGAGAGGCGGTTTTTATTCCTTCTAGAACGTAATCAAAAAAAAAAAAAAAGGATGAATCAAGTTTACTCTGTTCTCAGACGTTCAGGGAGATGGCGGTAGCGTATGTAATAGATGTACTAGAGGCACTTGGCCTTTATTTCGTAGCGTTTTCTTTTTTCCTTACTGAGAATCTGTATTTTGTTTTATATATATCATTAGAAAGAGTGAAACCGGTGTTATATAAACAATTTTAGTTCGCAGAATTTATATTTATGATTAACACTATTTATTATGATTTGTCTCTTTCACTTTAACGATGTTTTTTTTTTCTTCCCCCTCTGGAGTTGATATTTGAACGTTTTAGGGATCAAATGTCTGTTAATAATCCACCGTTTTCCGTACTTTGTTGATTAAGACGTGAAGAGATGACTTTATATGTGAGAGAAAGAGATCAAATAAGGCAGAAAATGGAAACTAAAAGACGGGGAGAAAGAATGAAAACAAAAATGTTTGTTTCCTGTACACATATAAGTTTGTTTTCCACAGATTATGAGGAAGATTATAACGATTTCCAGAAAAAACAAATATTGTTAAACACACGAGGCAGAGTAGGGTAACGAATCAATCATTATATATACATACGTAAAGTTCTCCAAGATTTTTTTCTCGGAGTTAAAAACATAGTTTGAAACTAAGCATGGCCGTTTTACACATAACATACATTAGTCCTCTTCAGATCATTGTGTAAAACACAGCTTAAAATGATCGGTTTCAACACCCAAAGCCCACAGTCGTTTTATTCGCTTAATTATATAATCGAGTTTAGATTTAACATGTTATCCAGTATTTAATGTGGACGCTCTAGCAATTAGAAGAGAAAGTGTACGTCGTGAAAGACTGAATACTTTGCCCTATTTTATGCAGGTTTGGATAAAGCACTTTTGATAGAAACGAGCTTCTATTGAAAACTAGCATACTAATTCTTATATTACTATAACCACTCTAGACTGTTTGCTGCTTGCGCAAGGCCAGAGTTAATGATTGTCTCTTTAGTATGCAAACTGCACTTCAATAAATCTCGTCCCCAGGGCAATTCAATCCCGGGGAAGGAATCCAAAAGAAAGTTTTCATATTCATGACCTGTCTGCCCATAGAGACAAGAAGGAGAGTAAACTCGGTTTAAATCGAGTTACTGAGCGTATAATACGTTCCATGCACAGACTGAAACAAACGGCTTCTTTACAAACCATAACCCGCAGAGGCTCTGTAGCTCTAGTGTACATACATTCGGTACACGAACTGTGGAGAAGGCTCATCGAGCAAAATGAGAATGCCCAAATAGTCCTGAAGTTGTGCAACGGTCCCTCCCATACCTCTCCCATGAATAAAATTTAAGCTGTGGTTCTTTAACGATACAATAACTTCAGAAGAAACGATATTCCGATTCAGGTGACATCTATATTTTTATAAAAAACGGTATTTATCAATAACTTCTGATTAAAAAAAGCTGCCTACATAAATCAGAAGTAAAAATTCACCAGTTATGAATATATCTAATTTATTCTACTGTTCTTACGTATGTATACGAATTTATTTGATCAGTTGGGTATCCTTGCTGTTGGCGATATTTTCGGCTGT